ACCATTGCACTTCTGGGTATTTATCCAAAGAAAACCAAAACAATAATTTGTAATGATCTATGCACTCCAATATTCATGGCAGCACAATTTACAATAGTCAATATATGGAAGCAACCTAAATGCCCATTCACGGACAATTGGATAAAGAAATTAGGGTTCATATATACAATGGAATATTACTCAGCCATTAAAAACAATGAAGTCCTACCATTTGCAATGACATGGATGGACCTAGCGGTTATTATGCTGAGTGAAATAAGTCAGAGAAAGATAAATACCATATGATTTCACTTATATGCAGAATCTAAGGCACATAAGAACAAATCAATCAAAAACAAACTCACAAATAGACACTTTGGCGACAGAGAGAGGGGAGGGGGCTTGGGGCACTGGGAGAATAGGGCGAAGGGTTAAAGAAGTACAAATTAGTAGTTGATAGTTGGTCACGGGGATGGGGAGCATTCTGAGGGAATGCAGTTAGCATTAATATGATGGCTAGGTGGAGTGCCAGGGAAAGGTGGGAGTATTTGGACGGATCATTTTATGAACTACATAGATGTCTAACCAATGTACTGTACAGTCGAAACTAATTTAAATAAGTAAATTTTACAAAAATAAAAAATAAAAATAAAAGAGTAAAAAAATGTTTATAACTAAAATTCTCTAAGCACTGGTTTGACTACATCTCCTAAGTTTTGATATGTTTTGTTTTTGTTCTAATTTTCTTTGTATTATCTTCTTCGATTTGTTTTCTTAAGGATGTGTTATATAATTTCCACATATTTTTGAATTTTTAAAATTTACTTTTATGGTTGATTTCTAATTTTATTCCACTGTTGTTTAAGAAACTATTTTGTATGGTTTCAAGTGTTTTTAAATTTGCAGTTGCTTCTTTCATGCCCTTATATATGATCTATTCTAAAGAGTGTTCTATGTGTACTCTAGAATTATATATTTGGCTGTTGTCAAGAGAAATTGTCTATAGGTATCTATCACTTCTAGGTGGTTTGTAGTAGTGTTCAAGTCTTCTATTTCCCTGTTGATCTTCTGTCTGGTTGTCCTATTATTAACTAGCTTATGCATGCAAGGCCGAACAAAATGTCCATTAAATATATTCCCATGGATCAGAAGACATTATTGGTAGGAGAATCATGGGCAAAGAAGAAGATCTATAGGATGTATTTGAGTTTTTCCTTTTGGTTTAGCTGTGAGAAAATGCTGCAGTGATAATTGATATCCATACCATGTGATGAGAGATCCTGAGATCAGTTTGGAACATAATCTATTATATTGGGACATTATATATGTGCTGAGCTACTGTACTAGGTTAGAGTATTATGTAGAATTACTTTTGTCTTGGAAGATTTTCAAGAAGAAACATCCCAGATGTCTGTGATCAAGGACTTGTGCCAGACTTGATGGCTGGATTTTAAAAGTGAAATCCATTTGGCTAAAGAAGCAGCCATAGGTTGGTCTTTCAGTAATAATAATAATATCTGACATTTACATTTTTCAAGGTGCTCTTTCAAATGTTTTGTGTTAATGATCGTAATGGAAAGAATTATTTATTTAATTTTATTTTGGGATTTAAAGTTCTGACATTTTTCTAGTTCATAATATTTTAATGTAATAAGCTTTTTATGAAGTCATAAAGTCCATGAATTTGAGTTTCTATACTTCTACCAATAGCCATGTGATTTTTTATAAGTCATATCACCAATTAGGTCCTCAGTGTTCCTCTGTTAAGAGCATGGTTGGATTAAATACTTTCCAAGGGACTTCACACCATTCTCATTCTTTAACTCTCACTTTTTCTTACCAGTTCATCTCTTATTCTTGACAGTTATCTTGGCTCTATCTCTTGGGTCAGTCCAAAAAAGCATGTGGGTGACCTTACAGACTACTTTACAAGGGAAACTCCAGATATCTTGCCACTTGGACCCATGGAGCAATCAAGCGATACTAACCTCAAGTACGGCTTCCTCAATTTCCTTGGATACCTTCCTCTCATCAAATAACTCAGTCCGTGGATATTTCTGGGGTTCAATGCTGTTGTGGAAAAAAAAAAAAAGAGATTAGTATGAAGCTGTTTTCTCTCCCTTCTGGGATTTCTGCCTCTTGTGGGACAGTCCCTTTCAGATTTTTAGCCATTTTGGCCTGTAACTTGGTTTTTAGAGAAAAATGTTTTAGCCCTTTGGAAAATCCTTTGAGAATGTCTGTAGAAAAGGTTATGACTTTATCAATGATACTTGAGGCATTGTGGCATTCACAAATTGGCCCATAATGGTTTTAAGACTCTTAAGCTTGATCTTTGACTCTTCAAATTGATAGTTATATAACTGTCAGCAAGTCGCCATCCAGACTTTAGAGCCTCATTTTCCTCATCTATAAAATGGGGATAGGATTACTCAAAATCAAGAGTTTTTAACATGGAGGATCCATAGCCAAGTGCACAAAGATAAATCCCCCATAATCT